AACTGTCATGTATGAAACTGTCAGCTGAGTACACCAAATAGTACATACTTTGTAGGAATAATTCACATAGACATAGTAGAGTATGGAATCCTCAATGCTACTATCTGATTTAGAAGGTCAGTGAATTCAGTGGTATTTACTATTTGATAAATATTTAGGATAGAGCTTAAACATTCCAAGTACCTAGATGATATCCGTTCATGGTTTTAAAAAACAAATTACAAGAAAAACTAGCAGATAAAACTCAGTAACACATGTAACATTACAATCAATGTATAGCTAATAAAGATACAAATTTAGGATGGAAAATATAGAGACTGGTCAATTAGATGTAAAGGGCATTTTAGCCCATGCCATTTGCTAGAGAGCTACTTCTGCTGAATTTTTTTTTCTCAGACATTAATTGTTCTTTTTAAATGTTCAAGTGCAAGGGATTTATACAACCAACAGACCATATCTAGGCTTAGCAAATGGTAGAAACCCAGCTTAATGAATGATATATTCTCTAGTACAGGGCAACTATGGCAACTTTAAGACCTGTGCACTTTATTTGCATGACTTGCTCGGGAATTCTGGGAATTGAAGTCCACAGATCTTAATGTTGCTCTAGTGACTGCCCCTTTTAACACTTACATGATACTGAAATCTTAAAATAAGTTGAATTTTAGTTTAACTAAAAAATATTTTTGCATAATGACATTTTTCCATTTAATACATTTATGTTTAACATTTTAGCTGAATGTACCTTGAGTATTAGTTTCAGAACTCTATTCAAAACGTTGCTATATGCAGGGCTCATAGTGCAAATACTCCTAAATGACTTCTACAAAAGCCAAATTTGCTCTCATTAATGGAAATGCTGACTTTAGCAAGCAACTACATCCTTGTTCTAAAAGCACAAGAAGATGTGTTTGAGCTAGCAAGTTTATTTTTAAACTCCTTATTTTTTAAATTTGCTACTAATGGATAATAATTGTTCAGAAACACAAATTTTCAGATGACAGATTTTCAATCTTGCTAAGAGATGAAAGTGTCACTCCTGTTCTTCTTTACCTAGTAGTATGTTTCAGCAAACCAGCATCAGCTTCCCATAATAATGTAGTCAAAGAAGTTAAAAAGACTTGCATCCAATGTGCTGCATGAATCCATCCCATATAATTAGGTCATAGTTCAAAATATCATAGGAATCCAGGGAACTAGGGATGAAAAAACCATGGGTAAACAGGTCAGGTAAAAATAGTCATAGGATGAGAAAATAACACTGCTTATGAGAAAAATGACTATGCACAACATGGTTAATTTAAATAAACTCAATTAACCTAAGATACTTTGAACCATAATCCAACTATATGGATTTCAGCAATGTGCTAGCTAAAATCCAACTGATTATTTTTTGGTTCATTGTGTCATGTGAATATAGCCCGTTTATTGTGTCTATGTAACAAAATATTTCATGTTTATTGTTCAGTGTCTTATAGATCCAAGCAATTGGATTATTTCAGGAAACCATGATTCAACCAACTATAGGTAAGCCTGTTGTGCAAACAGAATCCATGCAAGTTTATGAAAACCATCTCCTTCCATTTTCTCCACTCAGGGCTTTACTACTATTCTAAGATTTTTAGAACTTTGTCCCAAAGGATCATGGCTATCTTTTGCAAGTAGAAAAAGAAGAACTATTCATTAGATATACCTCTTCCTGGAAGTATAGCTCTCAGCTGCCTTTGGGTGTGGCTTAGATTGGAAAGCCAGAAAGAATTTGTGAAGCTTCTTCTCTGGTAACATTGTATTGCTAACTAGGGCATACAAAACCTTTGCCAGACCAATTATTGAATACAGCTCGTCTGCCTGGAATCCACACTCTATATTGGACATTAACACGATTGCGCAGGTTAAGATGTATTTCACGAGAAGAGTACTCTACTCCTCCACTCACAATAGAATTCCCTATGCCACCAGGCTTGAAATTCTGGGCTTGGACAATCTGATACTGTGCCACCTGCAGTCTGATCTAAGCATAGTGCACAAAATTGTCTGCTACAACACCTTACCTGTCAACGACTTCTTCATCTTCAACCACAATAATACACAGGCAAACAATTGATACAAACTCAAGGTAAAGCGCTCCAAACTCAATTGCAGAAAATACGACTTCAGCAATAGAGTGGTCAACGCCTGGAATGCTCTACCTGTTGTTACAGCCTCAAACCCTCACAGCTTCAACCTCAAGCTGTCTACCATGGACCTCACCTCATTCCTAAGAGGTGTGAATAAGTGTACCAGCGTGCCTACCGACAGTCTTACTGTCTCCATTTATCTGTATTTACTTCCTTTGTTCATGTTTATATTCATACCTATTCTTGTTATCTTGTAACAGAGAAATAAATAAATAAATAAAATCTGGAAAGCAGGAAGGACAAATTACAGTACATCAGTACTTATTGCTGAGGAAAAGGCATTAAAGTGCCCTCTGGAATGAGGTTTTCCCCAAGATCCAGATGGTCCACACTTTGCTGCTGTCTATGGAGATTCTCAGTCATCCAGGTCATGGTTGTCCCAAAGGTGCTTTTTTAAGATGCAACTGGACCTTATGGTTGTTCTTTGAAGACATTTCCCTTCTCATCCAAGAAGAAGAGAGCTGAAGAAGTTTCTTGGATGAGAAGCGAAACATCTTCAAAGAAAAACCAGAAAATCCAGTTGCCTCTTTAAAAAGCACCTTTGGGACACTTTGCTGTTGTTTGCAAGAGCCGTGAAGCCCTGGCTCTTCACCCAGGCCTTTAGCAGAGGAGAGTGAGACCCTTTGCTTCATTCCATCTGGCCTGTTGTGCTTATTGCTTTTAATTAATTTCATTGTAATTTCTTCATTGTTTGTTGTGAGCTAACCAGAATTGTTGGGAGTTGGAGGGCATACAGGTTTAATGATGATAGTAATGATGACGAAGTTTCAAACTTGAATCAAGGGAGACATTGCCTTCCATACTTATTCTCAGACAAAATGAAAGTCCAATGATTTCAGTAAAGCTCATTCCCAAATAAATGGCGGTAGGATGGTATGGTCAGAATAGTGGTGGTGGTGGTGGTGAGAACCTAGCTAATTCATATTGATTCAGTTAGTTACAAGTCAGCAAAATATGGCTTAATGGTGAGTTATCAAAATGGGTTATAGTATTTCAAATGCACCCAATAAAGCAGCATGGTTCTAAATAAATGATTGGGAGAAGAGAACCCATCACTCTTATTCTTCCAATTACCACTGATTGAAGCACCCTAACTCTAACCCTCTTCCTACAAAGGTATAGGAATTGTTCTAGTCTTATTACTTACATCTTTTCATTGAGCTGCACCTCTTTTGCATTCACTGTGACCCTGAAGAAGGGTCAGCTGGCAGCTGGCCCACAACCATAGAGCGTACGCCCAGAGAGGCCCTGCTGGAAGACTCAGTTTGGAAGCCGCCGAAAAAGCCATGCTGGGATGGTGGTGGTGGTGGTGGCGGCAGCTGAGGTGCTCTGGCTCTGCAGGGAGACCTGGGCCAGGGCATCTTGAGGCTGGGAGGCACGTGAGCGAGAGCAGAACAGCCGCTCACACAACCCCCCTCTCCAGCCATGCAGAGTGCCATTCACTGGCATTTTGAAGGCACCAAGCCACAGGAGCCAGGTGGCAGCAAACAGGTGCTCACGTGGCTTGGCAATACCCCTAGGTCAATGAATGGTGCTGTGCCCAGCTGGAAAGGGGGTTTGCCGGGTGGCTGCTCGTGAGCGTGGTTGCTTCATGGCTGTTGTGTTGTGCTGCTGCGACAGCACAAAACAATCATTTGCCCCTGAGGCTGTGCCCGACTCTTTGGGAGCCCGCTTGCAAGAGAGCAGCCGCCCAGCAACCCTCCTCTTCAGCTGGGCACAGCGCTGCTCAACAACCTAGCAGTATCCCGAAGGCGCCAAGCAACACAATCACCTTTGCCTCCCCCCTGGTTCCTGCAGCTTGGTACCTTCGGGAAACCGCTAGGTTGATGAGCGGCGCTCTGCCTGGCTGGAGGTGGGGGTTATCCAGAGGGCTTATTTATGGTGGAGGGCTTATATTTTTACCCACCAGAAAAATGTGGCATGGCCTTATTATCAGGACATGTCACATTTTCAGGGAAACACAGTACATTTAAAAACTACCAGGGAGTAATAGTATGTGTGTTAAACTAAAGGATTTGGAGCCCTCAACATTTGCAGGCTTGCACTGGAAGTTCATTACCTATTCCAGCATGATCACCTGGAGCTTCTGAAGAAAAATCCTTTGGGCTGTCCTTAACTGGGAAGACGCCCAGAGTTATTGGGAATGGAGCAGCATATAAATTTAATTTATTGATGGTACAGCAGAGTTGGAAAACTCTGTTAAATACTAGTTTTACTTTGGTTCCAATGAGGGGGTCCTTGATGCTCTCTGAGCTTGCTTGTTCTTCTGCAGGTGTTTCATTACGCAGAAGTTTGGATAATGAAACGTCTGCAAGAAAGCAGCCAAGCTCAGGGACCACCATGGACCCCCTCATTTCAACCCGGAGCTACAAATCTCCTTCTGTCATGGTCCCAACTCATGGGATGGGATCCTGAGGATCTCTTCCGACCCAGGTGCACGATAACCTTAGCTTACTAGTTAAAAAGCTGAGGGGAAAAACTCTTGAACTCACGCATTTTCAAAGGGGGAGGGGCTGCGGCACGTGGCAGTTCCCTTTAAGGTCCAGTTTTTAAGGGGCTTGGGGCGCATGGGCCAACAGCTTCAGGTTGGGAGGTGTGAGGGAGGGCGCAGCGGCGTGCGCCTGGCAGGAGCTCTGCATCGAGCCCCTTGTGGAGTTAGGACGTCCTTTCTTTCTCCACCACACCACACCGCCTCCCAAATCTCCCGCGCCCCTCCGTCGAGGGAAGAGTTGGCGCGCGCCGCTGCCGCCTCGCGAAAGGGGGGAGGAGGAGCTCAGCGGCCAGGCGGATTGCTGGCGGGTCCCACCTGCGGTTGATTGGCGAGGCAGAGCGGCGGACCTCGGGGGAAAAGCGAGGCGAGGGGCAGTTTGCCGCTTCTCCGTCCGTCCATCCGCGTGGTTTCACGTCTTTCTCTCCCCCCTCCCCACTCTTTCTCCTCCTCCTCCTTCTGGAGCCGCCGCCTTCTTTCGCTGCTCCGCTTCCCATCTTCTCGTTCAGCCAGCCATGGAGGCATTTCCAGTCGGGGACGAACTGGGCAGCACCCCGGAACCCACCATTTTGCAGCCTGCCGGGACCGCTCCAGCGCCGGCTTATCCTGCTCTCGAGTCGCAACAAGGCGAGCACCTGCGCGTCGGGGAGGACGTCCAGTTCAGCGAAGGGGTGGAAGACAGAGGTGAGCCCTACGGTCCGGGGACGCTGCCCGCCGCCGTCGTCACCGCTGCCTCGTCCCAGGTCCAATCCTGCAGCGCCCGTTGCCCCACCCACCCTCCTAGCCACTCACTCACTCACTCACTCTCCTACCTACCTACCCAGCCTTTCTCCGCTTCTTTTGCTCTTGGCTCTCCCGGCAGGTTCGAGCCCTGCTTAAGTTACCACTTTTTCCAAAGCCCTCGCGCGCGGCGCAGTCGCCACCCCCCCTTGCAACTTCTGGGGGAGCCCCGTTGGATTGATCGATTGATTGATGCTTCTCCACAGAAGAGCCCCCTCTCCCTTCCCCCCACTCCCAGTTGAGTTTCTGTAGTCGGCACCTTTGCCCGGCCTGCGCTTCGCTTCAAAGCCGCTTCAGCGAAGCCCACCAGCCCACCTCAACTCCTTCCCGCCGACGGCCGGCGCGCGCTCCTTTGCGCAGAGCTACATTTTGCTAGGTCACTTGGTCAACCCCGAGCGTTGCCTTCCTCCTGCGGCTCGTCCTCGGTTAACGACCGCCTGGCCCGGGAGCCCCTCACATCGCTCGGGTCCGCACCCATCCTTTACTTCAAAAATCCCATGGCTTTTTTTTAAAGCCTCCATTCCTCTGGCCCAAACTCTCCTCTCCTCACCAGCCTCCCTCAGCCCACTCCTGCTCTGGCCGTCGTTCCTGAGGCGCTGGCGTCAATGCAAGTTTATGCGACAAGAAATCGCTTTGCGAGTCCGTAAGACTCCGTGCCGTATTCACCTTTGACACCGGTCTGAGGGGGACCTCTGTTGACTTCTCCTTCCTAAATAGTGGGGGGGGGGGTACGTTTTCCCATCTAGGCACCTGGCAAATGAATGGTGGAGTTGGTGCTCCTGATTCTTCCCCCCTCCCCTTATTTGAAAATAAGCAGTAAAGGCATCTACCAGGATAGAAAAATAAAAACATCCCATGCCACCCACTTTTTAAAATGGGTGTGCTTGAAGGCTAGCATTCAAAATGCAAATCCAGAAGCATTCACTGACTTGCAAGCAGGCCGCCTCATTCATTGCAAAGAAAGGATGCTGTATATCCATCTCCACCCTTCCT